AGTGTTTATATTAGCATATAAAACTGGGTCCAAGTTAGTAGTCTTTAGCTTTCTGTCTATGTTTACTTCCAAAGTTATAGCAGTGCTGCATTTTTTTTAAAGAAATACTTCACCCAGAACCAAGCTTATCCTCTTATATCAGCTCTGCTAAATCTCCTAAATCATTTTTTTTCTTTTAATGGATGTGCAGACATTACACTTTATTGTAACACCTGTGAGAACAGCCACACTGGTCACTAGTCAATATTTCTTTGCTTTTTTGAGCTGAAGGATGACGTTGACTTAACAACACTTGAATGCTTGGTTTATTGCGTCAAACTTGATCTGCAGCTATGCTTGAGCATCTTGCTCAGGAATGCTGTGACTCAAGTGCTATTCAGTGAATTAAAACCACGTCTTACTTGGTAAATATTTCAATAAGCTTCTTTCTGTTCCTCCTCGGCTCTGAATCCTCATCAAACTCCTCAATCTCCTTCCCCAGAAAAACCTCCTGATGGAAGTCCTTATTGAGGTGGCCGTCCAGCTCCATCTTCAACCCGTTCAGGTGATCTGGGGGAAGAATCTCGTTCTCGTCTTTGCTGGATGGAGACTTATCTTTAGAGGCCGACATGTTGGCTGGCCGTGCGTGCACATCGATGATGTGGAGGAGCATGTAGAAAAGCAGAGAGACAGCCAGGAGGTTTCTGCACCACAGTTTCCTCCAAACAGCCATGTTTACCTCTGGATGAAAGGTCAAAGCAGGGCTATAAAAATAATCAAGACATAACAATTATTGTCCTGCTTTTTTTATGCACCAATTTTGCCTTTCCTTTATATAAATGTGCATTTCCCCTTCTCTAAAATTCCAAACCCATTCCTCGAAAGGTGGCAGCAGATTTAGTTCAGCTTAAATTCTAGAACTATTTTCTTAAACGTTCAACAAATACAGGTTGTTGAGTTATTGTCATAGGTGTCATACTGCCAGAAAACACTAGAAAACGGCCCCACTACTCCCTACCCCTAAAACTGAGGAAATAAAATATTTACTTATATCATAATCTGGCTGAAAATAAATCATAAGTTAAGACAATTATATGCAAGAAATCCAATAAATATAAACTAAAGGACAAAGGTGTTTTTATATGCGTTTAAAGTGTGTTGATAGATTCAAGAAATCATTTGATAAACAATACTGAGGCAGAGTCTCTATTCCTCAGACCCTATCCTATCACCCTGTTTTGTTTTTACCAGTGTTTTATTATTTTTAAATGGTACCACAGCCATATCCATTTGCGTAGGCATTTGCCTATGGAAAGCTCTTTTCACCCTACAACAAACAGACCAGTAATACCACATTCTTTTTTTAATCTCCATGGCGGTCTGTAGCTCCCTACGTGTGCTCTGCCAATCAAAAACCATGTTCAGCCCATTAATCTACAATATAGAGTCTACATTGTTGTCATCCAGATCCTTGATGAGATCTTTTCTGTCTCTATTTAAACATCTACATGTAAATTATAGCCTCCACCATTGTCTGTTGTACCCTTCCATCCTCTTGAGCATCAGTATGAATGCTGTGCTTTTTCAGCGATTCAGTTTACATTTCTGTAAACATTTCTGAAGACAACAACCCATTTCCTATTCTGTTTGACGAGTATAATCACTCAGATTTTAGTTTTTGTTTTGTTTTTTAAATTCTCTCCTACTCTGGTAAACTTACTGCATTAGTGTATTTAGGTTAATTCAATATTCCATGTGCTCATTTTAAATTAAATACCATTCAGGGTTTCAAAAAAAATTAAAAATACAAAAATGGGAAACGAACAAACAAAAATCGACTTCAGTGTCGCAACGACACAAATCGATACTTTCGCAACTCAAACACGCCCACTTCTAAACCCAGTAAATATTGTCAGAAATATGCATAAAGCCATTTTTCTGTACATTATTCTGCTGAAATATTGACCACGGGGACACAACAGAGGAAAACTGCACCAGATATGCACATAGTAATAAAAAACATGCAAAAATACGCAAAAGTTAAACAAACAAGCACCATCATAAATTAACACTGGTCAGCAAACTCACCAAAGCAAAATAAATTTAACGAATTTATTAGATCACTTAACAAAAAACCCCTCCAGACTTATTAGCAATTCATCAGTTATAAAACTAATAATAGACTTAATTATATAGTAAGTAAGGACATGTCTCCCCCCCTCCGAGCTACAAACGAACAGGAACGTTATTTATTTATTTTAACTCTGCCTAAACTCACGTTCCTGCCTAATGTCCGCCTTAATATTCATTTGGGAGCTGAAAAGTTACACGAACACGAGCATTTTAGTAAAGCAAACAACAGCTAGCATGCTAATTTAGCTTCGTCATGTCTTTTTAAACACTGGCGATTAGCACGGGCAGGCTAACACGTTAGCCCTCGTTGCTAAGGAACTAAAATAACTGTTGTTACGGCAGTAAAGGAAGACAGTGATCGCAGAGATTAACAATACCTTAAAACATGACCAGAAAATGATTTGTAGATAAGTTCTGGACTTACCAGTTAGCTGTTAATACCAGTAGTAACTTTCTAGTCAAACAGACCTTCGCTGGTTCCTCTAGATCCAGTTCCTGTACACGTGGCTCACCACACAACACTCTCTTTCCAAAGTGTGGGATGGTTCAGTCTGAAAACAAGCCCAGACAGACCCAGGTCAGTCGCCAAGTCCAAGCTGAGGTTCCAGTTAGTGTCAAAATTAAGAGAGGCTGTCTCTAACCGGACACCGCTGGATGACTGGGAATACAGGATAATTTCCGGTCAGCCCTTTCAAAGTAAAAGGATGGATGTGGGGGTATGAGGAGTGTGGTATAAAAACTTAAGTAGCGGTCCCGTGTGAAAAGGTGTTTGCTCCCTAAACCTTATAACTGTTTCTGCCACTCCTAACAGCAAGAATTGGGTTTGTTTTTCGTATTATTATTCTGCTGTAAGCCAAGTGTGCTTGAGGTTTAGCGTATAAACTGATGAACATTCGGAATTCATGGTTTCAACTATTACAGCAAGTTGTCCAGACCATCAAATTACCACCACCATATTTGTCTGCTTGACTTTATATGAAAGGCCATGTTGGTTTTACACTAGATGTAACGGAAAGCTTGAATGTAACAGAATATTTCCCCAGAAGGATCATTAATTACTTTTTCACATAGAAATTACGTAGGTTTCAGGTGTGGAGAGTTTTTTTAAAATCATCATTTAAAAACGGCATTGTGGATTTACTTAGGTTATCTTTGTCTAGAATTTGACTGATGATATTAAAAAAAAAAAAAAACAAATAAAATATATCATTAAAAAAACATTTAATTGTTTATACAATGTACGTTTTCACAGCACTGTACATTGATAGCTCACAGATTCAGAAAAAAATGGAAAATAAGTTTAAAAAAAAGCAAAATATTAAAAAAAATCTTTAAACACTTAAAATTAATCAATAAATTAAAAGTTAGCTTATAGACAAAACTTTAAAAAACTAAAAGAAACTGATACATAGCCCATGCAATAGATACAATTTTAAAAACAACTAAACACATACTAAAATGTAACATTTTTAGCTTTTGAGTATAATTAAATGACTAGAACAACAACAGATAAACAGTTGTACAAAAAAAATTACAAAATAACTGACAGTAATGCTAAAAGTAACATTAAAATACTAATAAAGGTTTATCTTAAAAGTGGAAATAGTGCTAGATATAAGTAATCAGTGGTCTATTTTAGTGGTCTAAAAAAGAAAATATTTAAATTTAATAGATATTTAGAGTAAAGATAATTAATTTAAAAAAAAAGTAAAGCATTAACAAAGGTTAGTTAAATGAAATTACTGTCAATATTGTAAACAAAAAGTAAATGCCAGGGAGCTAAGCTGAAAATTGAAATTAATATCTCAAAGCTTCAAGTTAGGCATCTTGAATTTACTAAGCCAAAAATGGAAAATATGAAAAATTGAAGAACCTAATGTCACCTTAAGATCTATGTGTGTGTGCGTGTGTGTGGTAAAATTAAAGCTATAAAAAGCACAAAACACACAAGAACCATAAAAACCATAAACCATAAAACCTTACACATGTTTTATTATATGCTCCAAACTGCCAAACGTTATTTATTTATTTATTTTATTTTATTTTATGTTGAGCGTAAGACTTTTTCCTTTTATTTTGAATTTAAGATCACGTATTTCCTGGACTGATTTTGTCGTCTGCTGTTGAGCTTGGTGCTTCTTGGCTGCAACTTCCTGCTACGTCTTCGCACAAAAGGCAGGAAGTGAGATGTCACTGGTAAATGTTTGTATTTCACGCCGCTACCTCAAGATGGCACTGCTTTAAAATGTAAAATTGGCAAACAAATGAAACGGCAGTCTAAAATTTTAAGTTAAAAAAAAAAAAAGTATGTGGTATGCACTCATGAGCTAACATGTTATTTATTAGAAACAATCTGGCAGGGTTGAATTCCTTTTTGATGAATGATTGTAGAAATACCCAGACCAGTAATTTATTCACATCAGCCATGATTATTTAGTGAAACATGCAATTTCTACTCCTTTCCTCTGGGAGTATTCAAAGAATTGAACACCAACACTGAGTAAAACAAACAGGTATGTACTGCAGTCTAGATTTCTGTCCCTGGCATACTTTCAAACAACAGATTACACAAGATAATGTCTTAAGGTCACAAAAAGGTGCATGAATTAGTTTTTACTTCTAGCTTGGAGCTTTGGTAAATCAGGCCTGTATTGAGGCATAGACAACTTTGTACACATCCCATAACTTGTCTGCCAAGAAGCTCTTCAGAAGTGAGATAAAACAGAGCTGAATCAGCTGAGGCTGCCAATAGAGAGAGTCAAAAGAGACGTGGAGAGAGAGAGAGAGAGAGAGAGAGAGAGAGAGAGAGAGAAGGACAGGGGGAGGGAGAATGGGTGATGATAAAACTCCACTGTGAGCCCTCCTGTAAGCTCAGTCAGAAAGCAAAGGAGCAGCTGGGACCAGAGAGGTAGGGAGTGCAGTGGAGCAAGAAAAAAAGAGACCCACCGGGCACCAAATCTCTGCACATGGACTTGTTGGGACAGTCAGTAGGCAGCACCTGAGTGACCACTTTAAGGAGAAAATAAGGCCGGCTAAGATCAATACAGGACTTCAACTGTCTTCTCTTTGGCATCCCCATGGATGCACGCAGATTGATCTGAATGCTGATCTGCATCTTTTGATCTGAGCCCAACTTCTGTGGATATTGCAGCTTTTTCCAGCTACCACACCAGTCTGCTGGAGCCTGGACTCTATTGTTGAGTTTAAGAAGCAGCGGGGGAGAGCGAGGGAAAAGAGAATATTGCCATCCATCTCTAAGTCCCTACAGCCCACCCTCAGCTTTGGACGCCCCTCCTCTCAGCCTCTTCTTTTGACCCCCTGTGCCCTCCACAACACCCCAACCCAACCCCCTTCAGCACCTCCACCCCCCCAACAGAGCAGAAAGCGTGAAAAATCTCACTAATGGGTTTATTTGCTGTCAGATCTCCACAGATCTGTCATTCCCTTGGACCATTCTGCTTGACACATTTCATAGTTGAGTAAGCCTCCTGGAAGTCTGGCTAGACTTAGCAGTGCCCCTGCAAACGCTGGGCTGGCTCAGAGCTCATCAAGAGGGGAGCAGCAGTCAGTCTGACAGTCTCTTGGACAGGGAGTCCCTGAAGCTGCATTCCTCCAGTCTCTTGTGTTTGTAAGCCTCGTGGGCATCTTCAGCTTGCGTCCAACCACACGACTGGTCCTTTTCCAGAAGATTCGGGTTGTTTCTGCAGGGATTCAGGTGCTGATTGAAAGACTGTGAAGATGTGGTGTGGGGCTATGCCTCTGGCCGTAGTGGCTGTGGTGTTCTGGACCCAGTGTGTCCTTCTAGATGGAGTGGATGCCAAGAAGGAGAGGAAGAGGCCAAAGGAGCCCACTCCACAGCACACAGAGACGTACAACACAACTCTATCCAACAGTGAAGAAGTTGGTGGGACCATCAAGGTATTAAATTCCAATGCAATTTCTTTTTAATATATATTTAGGACTTCAGATTAGTTTAAGGTTGCCTTGCAGATATGTGACATATACCTGTCAGCACAGGCTGTATAGAAATAGATAAATAAAGTGTGGCAAAGGTCGGGGCAGGTGTGCCCTGCCAGGTCAGGCCTCATACAGTTTGACGGACCAAAATGTGTGAAGCTCTAAATAGATGACTTCCCAAGGCATGCCAGGAATGTGGACATCTAAAGGGTGATCAATGCGTCAATTAGTGTGCGCTGCGGGTGCCTGCCTCCAGTGTTTCAGCTTATGTGAACAATTCAGGGTGCAGTAAAGCGAGATGAGGTATTTACAAACCTCTCAACACAAGAACAGTGTTTTTATTAGAAATGAATCCCGCTTACATAACAACATTGCTGCGGTACACTTCCATTTTCAGGAGCAACAGTCGGCCCTTGACTCTGTTATTTATTGGTTTATTGCTGGTGTTGCATATTTGTGAAACTTTCCAACAGGCTATTTGTTTTGCTTTCAGCCCACCCATTATGTTGGCATTCTCATGTAACTCTCACTGCCCTATATACCAGCCAGTCTCGCGGTAACCTCCACTCCTTTCCCCCCTCTTCTAGAAACCACACAGTGAGGTCTTCTTTGTGTCTCTAAGAACACTTTGTAGGTGGTTGTGGCCTGGCACTGTTTATTTGACTTGGTTCGCCCAGTAAAAACAACAGCTATGAAGGATGACCTTGTGTCAGCCCTGAATCTTGGTGAAGATTGCACCCCACCGGGATCTCGCTGGTCTGCCTCGTCCCACAGGGAGCAGGGTGTCCTCACAAACACTGCTGCTCTTGGATTGCCTTGTAGGCAGTGATGTGACTCCTGGGAAAGTTAGCTGGAGAGGTATTATAGTACCTGTGGTGATGTTTTTCCCAGCCCATTGACGCTGTCATTCACAGGCCTACCCCGACTCCGCTGTGTCTGGGACATCCGATAGGGGCGGTGTGGCCCTGAAAACTGGGGCAGCATGCCGTGTAAGCCCCTCACAAAGCCCCATAGAAAGGGCCTTGAAAGGGAACACCTCTGTGAGGATTATCCCCCTTTGCCTCCCTCTCTAACATTCTTTTCATCTCATCTCCCACAATCACAGGGTAATGGCATAATCACTCTTAAGACGCAGTGTTATGCCCGACAGTGTCTTTGCCAAACACTGTCACCTCTGATAGAACCTGAGATTTAAGCGTGACATCTGTGGAAGAGGTTGCATTGAAGGTTGCATTTGTCAGTGCCACTCTTTCTGGGTTTCTTTTGGCGGGTATAGAGAAAAAAAAAAAAAAAGCATGCCACACATCATGAAAAGTGGTAAACTTGCTTGTCTTGGGTAGTTTGTTAGTTTATCCTATTACACATCTGTTAGGGCTCAGAGAAAACAGCACGTCCATTGGAGCTGTCTTGGCAAGCAATTTGTATTCTCAAACAAGCCAAACATTTACACTCCAAATTTACATTTTTTCCCCCTTGTGCCCAGTGGAAACAGTTCTTATGATGGCATTCGTTTTCTATCTGACCAATCCTGTGTGTGGGCTGCTGGCAGTGGGCAGTCAAACCCTGCATTCCTCTGGAGATTTTCCATTTGAAAGTGATCACAACAGTGAGGTGTGGAGCTACGCTGTGAGAAGAATTTTTTTAATGAGATGATGAACATTTCAAACAACCGTGATCTCTGCGAGCCGTCACGTCTCAGAGGTTTAGTACAGTGCGTTAAAAGTACAAGGCTTATTGTGCACCCTGCTCTAAAGATGAGAGGAATCTGTCATTGCCGAGCGCAGTGAAGGATCTGTGATGACTGTAATGGAGGGAGTCAAGTCAAACATCACGCCTGGCGTGTTGAGTAATGGCTGGGTTTAGCCTGAGGTGAGGGTTTTTGTTTCCTCTCTCTCATCTGTAGTGATGATTAATACAGCGGCGTGTGGGACCTTTTGGATCAACCCACACATTGAGACAAAACTGAGTCCCTCAGGAAACAAGGCCACTGTGAGAGCACACACCTCCCACCGTTGGTGTGAAGAGTCCACAGTAAACTCTAGTTTCAGCCTGTCAGACAGTCAAAAAGGTTATGCTTATTTAACCTAATGGAGTCATAAAACAGAGGGAAAAAGAAACAAATAACAAACACTGTTTTGCGTTACATCTGAACTTGGGCAGTAAAATAAACCACACTGTTGTGTTTTCACCTCCCAGACACAGAGCGGCTGTTTTATTTGGATTTTGTCTGCAGCTTCAGGTTGATGCTGGATTTATATAAAAATCCCTTAATCTTGCCTGATTCTTATCATGAGTTGGTCATGTTTCTGTAACTGCTATATCCAGAACTTCAGCAGTAAATTCATCAACTGTGGCTTAAACAAAAACCAACTGCAGAGGTCATTAATCATGGCAGGATTTTACTGAGAACCGATAATGTAGATGCATATACTGTACAGCGCACTCCGATATGAGTGAGGAAGAGGCAAAGTATTGTATATAGTGTATAAGTATATAGTGCTATGTATTTCTTCAGGTTTGATTAGCTGATTTATTATCCATCCATGCATCCATCCATCCATGCATCCATTCATTCTCTGCTGCTTATCTGGGTTTGATTTGTGGGGACAGCACTCTCAGCAGAGAAGCTCAAACTTCCCTCACCCCAGCCACCTTCTCCAGCTCATTCAGGGGGACACCGAGACATTCCCAAGCGGGTCCTGAGTCTGCCTCAAATTTCCAGGGGGCATCCTAGTCAGATGTCCAAACACCCTCAATTGGCTCTTTTCGATGTGGAGGAGCAACCACTCTACTTATTTTTTATTGTACCTTGAATATAATGACTACCCCTTGTTAGCTTGTGTTAATGCTAGCTAGAAACCGAGGACACACTGGAGGGATTATATCTCTCAGCGGGCTTGGGAATGTCTTGATATTCCCTCGGATGAGCTGGGAGAAGTGGCTGGGGAGAGGGAGGTCAGGGCTTGTCTACCTAGACTGCTGCCCCAACGACCGAAAACTGGATAAAGGGCAGAACATGGCCGGATTGCTCCTTGGACAGATTCAGTTTTGCTAAATTTGGACTCTTTTCTTGCATTCAAGTGACTTGTAAATTAGTCACCAGGAGCGTTCCTAGTATGTGGTTATATAACATAGTCCAGAACATCTCATGAGTTTTTACTGTGAAGTGGCAAACTGTGATCTGTGATGGCACAGCATAGGTAATGCTTTTCAACAGCTCATTTTACCTACCACAGGGAAAATGAGCACTCACTTCCAATTTCAAAGCTATAATTTGTACACAAAACAGATGTGACACAACGATCAAAGTGTCTTTCAGCTTAGATTGCTTTTTATATGAAGAGGAAGCTGAGATTGTCTTGAGCATAAACACAAATTTATTCACTTTCTCTCGTATGCTAGAAGTGCAACTTTGTTGGGACAACAAAGAGGCAGTTAGAAAAAAGCTCAGGACATATTATGAGAAGAATGTTTGACCTTATCATTAAATAATAACTACATTTAATTTACACTTCCAAATATGCCCCTGTGTGATAGAGTAATTATGTTTTGCACACTGTGTTTGCCAATTGAGTAATAACACAGTGTGCAGAGAGCCGAGTCAACATTGCATGCTTAACTGTATTTACCTCTTCAGTGATAAATCTTCGAATCAATCTGTGTCTGTGAAGCGCAGCGGTGGGGAACACGTGGGCGGATGCATGACAACTGAGATGCACGCAGGTTAGCAGGATCCCCTCGTCCCACACAGCCTGGGGATCCCTGCCTTCTGGGGCGGTGTTGGCCCAGCGTAAGGCCCTTCCACCCATGCATGGATGACTGCACAGGGAGCAGTGCAGGGATGTAAAAACAAGGGATTAGAGATGACTCTTAATCATCCTGTCCAACCTTAAACCTGCATGCGGAACACTTTTATCATCAGCAAAATGTTTCATGTTGTCGAGTGTGTACGAGCAGGTAGAAAAACAGATAAGGCAGAAGTGAAAATAAGATAAGTTTTTTTGTACGCACACGGAAGAATTCAGGAGCTGCCTGCAGAAGAGTAGAGTTTCAGTATCTGGTTGCAGCCCCAGAGACATGTTTTAACAGTTGTGTTTGTGTTTTTGGTGGCACGCTGCCCCAGGGAAATATTTCCCATTTTATTGCTTCAAATAAATTCTACTTAATTTTCCCCAAACTACATGACAAACACATTTAAAGCGTCGTACGAAAAGATTTATTTGTGCAGGCCCAGGTCGGTCTTCTGTGGATAATAAAATCTTATAGGCTTCTGCGAATGATCAACAATCATCACAACTGATCCACTAATTGATCCAAAAGCTCTAAACTCACCATGCTGCGAGTTAATAAAACCATCTATCTTCACTCTTATGGTAAGACATGGATGCCAGGCACAAGCAGTGGAAAATGATTTGGTGTATTTGCTCAAATAATAAGTACTGCACAAAATTTAGGCACTTTCACTTCAGTATTTGAAGTATTTTTGCTTCGTACTCAACTTTATTCGGTTTAAGAAGCAACTATTGTGCTTTTTACTTCACTCTGTTAAAGATTTTGAACATGAAGCATTAAAAACTACCAATTTGAAAAAAGAAAGAAAAGAATAAAAATATTTTAAAAATTGCTCTCATGCAAAATGAACACTTACTTTTTGATGAAATCAGAAAAGTTGCCTCTTTCTCATTTCTCTATAAAGAACTAATGCATCAGCTTTAACACTTACATAATGGTAACACACACACTGAAAACATGTATTTTTATTCTTAATCCCAAAACACTGACAAGCTTTACTTAACAATATTATGAAATATAAATTACAGGATTTCTTTCTCTCTGCCATTTAGAGCTGGGTCGCTTAGCCCAAGCTGATGACCACAGACAGGAAGCACAGCTAGCCAGGCTTTTGATTTTGTCTTGTTTTATAATACAAGATCAAATTATGCATTAATGAATGAGCTTTA